TTCGGATGCGAAGAAGTGGGCTGTAGTCCACGAAAGCTTATGCTCTAATAAATTTGTTAGTCTCTAAGGTGCCACAAGTACTCCTGTTCTTCTTTTGGCTCTTAAAATGAGAGCTTGGGTCAAACCTTAACTTTGAAGACACTAACACTCTTGTATTATAAGTGTCTAAACCTTTTATAAAGTGACAGAGTCCTGTGGCACCTTATAGGCTAACAGACGTCTGATGAAGTGGATATTCACCCACGAAAGCTTATGCTCCAATACGTCTGTTAGTCTATAAGGTGCCACAGGACTCTTTGTCGCTTTTTACAGATCCAGACTAACACGGCTACCCCTCTGATATTAAACCTTTTATGCATTTATGCTAAGCTGTTTTGACTCAATAATATCATGTGTGAGTTCCACTTGCTAATTATATTTTGTATAAAAAACTGTTTGCTCCAATTTTGTTGGATTTTAATTCCATTGTGTTTCTTTTACTCTGGTATCATTAGATATGGTAAAGAACAGCATTCAAATGGCCTCCTCTGGTCCAGGTCACTATTTTATGTAGCTGCTACCTTTCATACTGTCTCTCCTCCTTCCCTTCCCCTTTCTGAGAGAGCTGGTGTGGTAACCCTGCCCAGAACCCTTAAAGACAGATGTTCACGGCAGCCTGTGATCCCGTGAATATCCTTTATTAACATTATTATATTTATAAACGTAATACACTTGGGAGCTTAATATACATAGTAATAGAGGAGGCTGGCTGTGCTAATTGTATGGCTCCATCCTGCTTTGTGTCTCAGTCAGTAGCGTCCCTCGGTTTCCAAGCAGGGTGTATCAAATACCAATGATGTGACCCTTTGAAAGGAAGTGTCACTGGTAACTGAGTCCCCAGGGCTGTATGCAGGAAATGGCAGCAATCTGCCAATGGCAACGTCATCCTTTCAGTGTATATGTCTCTCTCCCCATCAAAGGGCCTAATCCTGCACCACTGAAGTCACTGGGAGTTCAGGGGTGCAGAATTGGAGTGAATGGCCTTAACAGAGAAGATGGAGCCTTGACGACTAGGTGTCTCTGCTGACTGAGGGCCCTGAGCACAAAGGCTCCTGGAAATGAACCACTGGTCCTCGCGTCAACTTCATAGGGCTTTGGATGAGGTCTCAGCAGACAGGCTTTTTTCTATGTATCATATCGCTCCTGACATTTGAGCTGTCAGGTGGACTGTGGTGAATAGAGGAATGGGCAATCGATGAGCATCTCTGAAATGCCACCAGCAGCAAAACTGCAATTCACAGTTCTTGTCTTTAAACTCAGCCCGTGACTCAGGTCCCCATGCTGAACTCTCTCTAGAAAGCATATCGTTGCGCTGTTTTATTGTGAGCAGGGCAGCGCAGGGAGGCAGTGTTGGGAAAGAAGGTAAAAAGCTGCAAAGCATTGCTGCAACCGGCCGTTTTCTTAAGTTCCTTCATCTAACCAACCTTACCCTGAAATTTGCTTCACCCCCTTGGCTCTGGGATCTATGACAAGCTGTAATAACCTCATACATGCAAGGACACGTGCACTCTGGTTAAAAAGTTCACATTACCGGTCAAAAAGAATGCTGCAGCCATCTACATGCTGGAAGTTTGTCAGACATCAACAGGATGGACAACTGCTTGTGCTAGTGAATGTTTTAGGACTCAGCCCTTCTCCCATGAAGACCAATAGCAAATTCTCCACTGACTTCTCTGGGAGCAGGAACAGAATCAAGATTGGATTTTTTAAAAAGATCTGCTCTAGGAATTATTTTGGGGAAGTTCTATGGCCGATACTATACACAAGATCAGATTAGATAATCACAATGGTTCCTTCTGACTTTGTTCACCATGGGCCTCATTCATAGATTCTAAAGTTGTTTGCTGCCCCGTCCCTCCCATGGCATTTCTGTCCTATATATTCATGCAGCAAGTACAGTATGGGCAATGGCAGCAGAAACTTTCCCTACGCAATACCCCCAGCCAATATGGCTCAGCCCTGACTATGAGAGACATCTCTGTGGGTGAGAGAGGGGTCCTATCTTCATGCTACCTTCAGAGCTTGGTCCCTCTATTCAGGCTACCAACATATGAGCCAATTAGTGCCAACCATAATGGTGTTTTTTGTGCTGTGAACTCTGCTCCATTGAGATGTGGACTCAGTCCCAGGAACCTAGTGTCACACATGGTACAGAACACCAGACCTCGTCTGTTTCATTATTTCCACTAAGAAAGAATTGCTATGTGCAAAAAGTGTCATGTGGGTGATTTTCTTAACTCCCTTCTGGGTAAGTGTAAGAAAGAAGCCTGAGATGATGAAGACATAGGTCACATACCTGATTGGGGGGAGTCATATTTCCGATGACCGGTCAGAGCTCTTTAGTGGTCACATATGTTTATTAATTCAATGAGTTTAAAATATATTATTACAACTGACAATGGGGGAACCGCCAAACATGTGGCGATTTAGTTCAATAAGTGTCTGATTCTTCACATACAATGAGCCAAATGTCCGCTCAGTCACGTGACTTATTTTAGATTAAGGAAAACAACATCAGGAAAGAACAGTATGTGCATTCGCTACAGATTGTGAACAAACTGTGGCTACTGACAAGCAGAGTTCCCAAGTGTAAAGGTGCAGAGTGCACAGGAAACAGCCATGGTTGTTTGAAGTACAGAGACCCATGGAAGACTCCTCAGAATATGTTTGGCCTTCTGCAGGTTCAACGTTATGGTGAGAGGTGTTAGAAAAAACCCTAAAATAGTTTATTTCAGCTTTTACTTCTGGAAGAAACCAGGATGTGCATAGAGGTAGCAAGATTGTGGAATATATCAGAAATATTTGTCACCAGAAATTATTTTGAGTTCATTTCAGTTCATTTGATGTGATGCTTGGGATTTTTTCTTATTTTTTCCAGCGCGGTTGGCCCATCCCTTGATTCAGTCTGCCAACCCTACCTCGGCCAAACCTCCATCTCTGCTTGCCTGCACTGAAACACCTGCTCTCCAAAACTTCCCCTTGAGTGGCCCCTTTGTCTCCCTCCCCTTCTTTCATCTCCATGCTGGCTCTTACACTCCCTCACTTTGTCCATGCTTCTCCCTCTCCTTCAGATCCCTCCTGCAAAGCCTTTTAAGCAAGATCACTGCAAAATTCATGCACCTCCGTGAGCATGGTGTGTATGTGTTGTAATGGCTGTGTCTGAGATATTCTTTACAGCACAAAGCCTGTCTCATTAGGTTTCTGTTGCTCTAGACCATCAGTTGGTGCTCAGTAAGTAATAATAGTTGAGCGAAGACACCGCAGGGGACCCTCTCACTGATGGGGAAGGAGTGACTTTGGGAACACATAGAAGTGTCTTCTAATAATTCTGCCCAGATTTCCCCAGTTCCTGCAACTAGTGCCTGAGTGGCTCATTTTCTGCAGTGTCTGGGAGACAGGTTACTAATCTGCCCGTTTGCTCTCTGGCTGTAGTGATTCAGTACTGCAAGTATCAGAGGGGTAGCCGCGTTAGTCTGAATCTGTAAAAAGCAACAGAGGGTCCTGTGGCACCTTTAAGACTAACAGAAGTATTGGGAGCATAAGCTTGCGTGTGACGAAGTGGGCATTCCCCCATGCAAGCTTATGCTCCCAATACTTCTGTTAGTCTTAAAGGTGCCACAGGACCCTCTGTTGCTCAGTCCTGCAAGTCTCCAGAGCTCAAAAGTTGTGAGTTGGGCCTCCACAAAAAAAAAACCCATGTTGGGTTATTTTATTTGCCTTCTAGAGGCTGAACCTTTAGGGGCTCGTGTTTTTAAGCTTTGCTGTGCAATCATGACCAACAGAAAGTTACTTTACACACACACACCAAGCAGCAGGGTGGACAGGCCAGGTAATCACCTAACTCCAAGAGCTGAGGCTTTCAGAAAACACCAGCTATCCTGAGACTTGCCAGGCCTGGGAAGCACAGCTGTCTGCTCAGAGCTAGGTCCTGACCTGCGGTTGCTGTTCCCCTCTGAGTGTCCCACTGGTCTCGTAGGACAGGCGGTGCACCCAGGAGCAGAGCACTACCTCCATCCTCCTGTTGGGAGGGATCAAACTGGCACCCCCTCCATGACACTGAAGGGTGGCTGCCACGGGACGAGGGCCAGAGGCGGAGCTCGTCTCTGGTGCCTTTCGCTGGGGCACGAGAATTATTCCGGAGGTGCCGCGGCCCCGCTGGGTGAACGCCCTTCGCAGCCCAATCCCCGCGTAGGGTGACCAGACAGCAAATGTGAAAAATCAGGACAGGGGGTGGGGGGTAATAGGAGCCTATATAAAAAAAAGGCCCCAAAATCGGGACTGTCCCTATAAAATCGGGACATCTGGTCACCCTATCCCCACAGCTCCTGGGGGGGGGATGTTGCATCAGAGCCGCGCCTGCCTTGCGCAACGTGGATGCTGAGTGTCCGAGCCCTCCCAGGCGGGCGGGGGCCGTCTCGGTTCGGCCCCCTCCTAGGGGGGCTGCTGCGGAGCGAGCCCTCCCGAGCCCCGGCCGGGCAGACGGGCGCGAGCCCAGCGGCCCAGCCCGGGCTCGCTCTGCGGATGAAGCTCGCCTGCAATTGCAAACTTTCCTGGCTCGATTGCCATTGGCCGCGGCCCGGCCAATCGCGAGCGCCCTTCGCAAACAATGCAACTTTTTTTTTTTTTTTCCCCTGCCCCGCTCGGAGCCCGGCTGCTGCGCTCGGGCTATTTCGGGGCGAGCCCCTCCCCGAGCTGTTCGTGCGCCGGGCCCGGGCTGGGGAGGCCGCCGCAGGTGCACCGGCCGCGGAAAGCCCGGAGCGCACGGGGCTGCAGCCGGAGCGCACGGGGATGGGCGGCGCTCAGCGGCTCGCTGGCTCCTGAGATCATGGCCCCGAGGGAAGCCCCCGCGCCCTGCCCCTCCTCCAGCTGAAGGAGCAGCCGGCAGGAAGCCGCTGCCTGCATGCGAGAGCGGCCGAGCCCGGCTGCGACGCCCGCTGCCTTGGCTGGAGCGATGGCCGCGTTGCCCCGCTGACCCCCGGCAGCAGGCTCCATGCCGGGGCTCCATCAGCGGCTCAACACCATTTACGAGTCGGATTCTGTTTTCTCCCCAGATGGAATTAAAGGCGGAGACGCGAGTGTGAGCTTGGCCCCGGGGAGCGGCGCCTCCAGCCAGAGTAAGTGATCCCCCGCCTGCCCCTCGGGCCGGGCCGGGTGCAGAGAGCCCGGGGGGCACCTAGCCCGGGTCAGGGCTCGCTGCGCCAGCCGAGCGGGGCGGGCTGCGCCCTGGCTTGGGATGCAGAGAAAAGGGAAATGAGAAAGGAGATTGAGCTATTTTTGCCTCTCCCCACATGACTAGGCCCTGCGACATGCAATGGGCTTAATGAACCAGCCGCAGGGATTTCCTCCTCACGCCTCCTCTTCCCCCCCTCGCTTGAGAGGGAGGTCTTAAGCAGCTGAGAGGTGGGATTCCCTGGGTCCCCTGTTCAGAGACGGAGCAGCTGGGTGCGCGTGGACATGGGGCAAGCTTTCGCTTCCCAAGAGCAGTCTGTCTGGTTGGGGTGTGTCCCCTGCCATGACTCTCAGTTCTGCTGGTGTAATCGAGAGCCCAGTGCCTTAGATGGACAGTAAGCAAGTGATGGTTCCCCTAGGGAGGATGAGTCTTCTGCTTTGTCTGCACAGAGCAGGAGTTCTCCAAGCCATGGCATCAGGAGGTCCCTTCACAGGTGGCTGTCAAGGGAGGCGCAGGCATCACGTTTCTGCAAAGCAAAACATTGGGGTGTAATTTGAGGAATCCAGTCCAAGGCAAGCAGGATGTTTAACCCATCTGGAAATGAAGGCGCAGGCCTTGTGGAGATTAGTTAGCTCTGCTTATGTCCTCCAGAGCCCTAACACCATGCATAGCCTGTGTCTTCCTCAGGTGAAGTTGGTCAGTATCTGATGTAGGATACTGCCGAATCATCCAGTCCCACCCTGCATGGTGCTAGTGTGAGTTTAAGTCTGGGGGTCTTGTTGTTCTGAGAGACACAGTATGCGGTGAGTGTCCTGTCCACTCTCTGGTTCTGTGGTAGACGGTTGCACTGCTATCTTGGTGTCAGATATGTGCTGGGGATTGTGTGTGTGATTGCATCTCATGGGGTTCAAACAAGACTCTTATGCCATTAACAGGAGGGTGGTGTTTGTAGTCCTGGCAGGAAGCTGCATTAGACATAGATCTAAGGGGATGTCCAGGTTAA